TATAGTAGAAAATTCACAAAGGTGCAAGAAAAATGGGAATTAGAGACCCCTACCTCAATCTAAGCCAAAAGCTCCAATTTGTGCCCTAGATTTCAACTCTCCTAGAGTACACCAAACACAAAATTGCTCTGATTAACTTAAAGATCTCGTTATGGGCCTCAATTTGCCGCAAACGGCTTCTAAAAATTCCAAGGATTGGTGGAGAAATCAAACTCTAAAGCTTTGATTAAAAAAGAAAAAGAAAAGAAAGTAAAGAGCAGAGAGAGAAAACCAGCGGGGAGAAGAGAGAATGGAGACCAAACATGGTCTCATGGCATTAAGTTTGATATTGATGGGTCCCACCATTTTTATTTTATTTTTCCTTTTTCCTTTTTATTTTTAATTTACACCACACACACACATAATTACACATGTAATTTGCAATTACTCAAAACACAATAAATAAAAATAGATATGGTGCAAATAGACCCAATCAAAATACCCGTATGCAACAATTTCGGCAACAGTCCCACACGGGACCGTCCGGCCCGAAAAACTGAAAAAAACAAAAATGACCATCCTTGCATTTCAAAGAGTCCCGGACTCAATGAAATGCCCCAATCAACTCTCGGATATAACCGGCACACTCCACGGTGTCAGTTCGCAAAATGTGAAAAGACAAAAATACCCTTGCATGAACGAAAAATTCCCAAAAAAAATAGAAAATGGAAAAATTCAGAAATATTACAATCTACCCTCCTTAAAGAGATTTCATCCTCGAAATCTACCCTCGTTAAAAGAAGGAGGCTCACAGCCACACACTTTTCGAAAACACCTCACAAAACCCGGAGACTAAGAACTCAATAACCATATTGTCTTTAACACCGGCGCTAACATGCAATCACACTCTGCCGCCAGAAAACCCAATGATCACCTTCTTATGAGGGTACTCATCACTCATAACATCATACACAAAACCCGCTGAATTCTACACTGGACTTAAAACCAACACTGGTCCCCGTTACACTGCTACACAAGGCTCGAAAGAAGAATGGTCGCAATACTCCTGAACATGACAACATCCTATCTCAACTCATCCCTTTAAAAGACACATAAGTCACAGACAAGGAACCCTATCCACCACACAATCAGACTCAAACTCAGACCTACACCTTTCAGTCAGACCAACACTTGCCATCCAACATACGGCTATATGACTACAAAATCATACAACGACCACCAACTACACTAACGGGCAATTATTATACTGATCAACCTCAAGATAACTAAATGATGAATCTCCCAACAATTATACAATCATGAGCCACCAAACCGATAGAGCGTACCCTCCTGTGCCCAGGACTCAAATCCTCAAAACCAGATCTTTAATAATGAAGCGGATTGGACACTTGGTTCCACCTAACACACCTCGTCACCCGAGACAACTTCCTGAATCCACACCCTCACATTGACACAACACCCAATACCATACTTTCACTATTTATGACAACTCGAAACAATCATTGACCTTCAAAATATCATTCGATTCAATTCTGACCTCGTCAAAACACACAATACAACTATCTTATACCTGAGATCTCAAAACCAGAATCAATTATTCCTATTATCCTCAATGGAATCCCATAATTATTCTCCAACTGCATAATATTCAACAATACCAACACCTGTCCCCAAGACATTGCTAGAATCAATCACCTATAAAAATATTTGAATACATAAGTCACATCACATCACCTAATCATCCTCAATCTTTCATTCATGACAAATTCCTTGCGGCCACCACCAGTACCTGACACTGAAAACATACAATCCCTATTAGACAGCTCGTGCCTCACACACCACCAGTCAAAACCACACTCAAAACAGGCACTACAGAAACCCAAGACTCCACCTCCCTCCGAGGGAGTGAGTCGACCCCTTTTTATCAGAGTTTCTACCATTAAACCCTAACAACATAACAAACTACACACAGGTCCGTCCACCCACGAACGCACACCACTCCTAAAGGGAGAACAAGACTTATGACAAAAGATGTCCTTGCCAGGACTAGAACAAGTGGAAAGGGTAACGAACCCCACTCTCACAAAAGACTGACAACTCGTACTTGAATGCACTCGACACCCTATCACACGTTACTCACCAATCGTCCAGCCATGAACACCCAATCTCACCTCAGATGAAGTGAACTTCCTATACACAAGGAAATAACTAACTGAAAACATATATGGGACTACGATCCCGATTCTAGGCGACCTCGCCACTAACGAACCGTCACACTCTATCAACACAGAAACCTCGCACACTCTTCTCCGCAACACTATGTTAACCAAGACCAATCAGATAAAAACACCAACACCCTTAACATACTAACACTAGAAACCATCATTGCATATTGGACACCGCGTCCCATCCTACCCAATAATCTCCTAATAAGAAACTCTATGCAATACAATGACACCTGATCATCCATTCCACCTCTACCCTTTGAAAGCGACACTGCCTCAACCACCATACACACAAGACCCATGACCTCGGTCACAACAACCCACTAACTATTCAAAAGAAAAAAAGGCCTATCTAGCAACACCGCTCTCACTGGTTCTAAAAACTCATCTATCTGCAATCGCCTCAACTAGCGCACAATCCCATCACCTACCTATCAGCACATAACAACAGCTTATAATTTCTAATCCATCCTCAGATCATACCTTAAACTATCATGCTCATCAACACTAAACATCACACCATGACACCATAACACCTCCACTGTCACTCATTCCAACAACAGTTCAAACCTCTTATCCCATCGGATCATCAAGTCACTACTAAAGGAGTTTTTCCTTGAACATCCTTAAGATAATATCATCGTAACAAAAGAACAAACACAACCTTCGATACTCCCCATAACAATCACTATTTACCACTAGAAAAGAATCTCCATACAACAATGCCATGCCAACAAATCCTCGAACAAAATGAGGACAAGATCCGGAATGCTCAACACCCAATTGTCTCCTTAAAATCATTAACGATGCAATCATTCACAAACGCCTAACTAACTACTTAAACCACTCTTTCTAATGCGATCTACGTGCCTAACCAAGGAAACTTCACACATTAGGTTCAACATCATCATTTCTTCTCCGCACTGTTCCTCAGAACACCTTTGGCCCCAACAAAAGTCAAATGGTCTACCAACTAAACCTACAAGATCAACCTCGTCCCAATCATTCTTATAACCAGTCTATTTTTCCGAATCCTCAAACACCAAGCACTATCTCCTGATACGTCAGACACAATTTAAAATATAACCCCAACCCGCAACTTCCAACATTTAAAACACAGTCCATTTGGTAACACACACTTACTATCGATCACTTCATCCGCAACAACCGAGCACTTCAATAACCTCAAACAACATGCCTTATAGTACAATCCTGCGCTATACGACTAAAACTAACCATTATACCTCACCTCGAGACCCTCTAGATAGCCGTGCTAACCCAAAACCCCGCTCATCAACTAAGCAATGCAACCGACTCACCGAAAGTCGATTACCCGCAACACGTTCCCGTAACAATCCTAAATGAGAATCACTCCTCGATAAACTAGTCTCCAAAACAGATTCCTTTAAGACCATGAAATGATCCACATCCGACAACCGGTCCTAAATCACCCTAGACATTCAAAATCCAACAAGTCCCCATGACAGTCAGGATCAACACGTTTCCTTAGACCGTACCACAAGATACACATTTACAACTCGTAAACTACATTCGTGACTTAAACAATCTTAATCACACTTACCACGATCGGTTCGATAAGAACCTCCGCACCAAACCGTAACCCAAGTCACTAACACCAACATCTTATAGCCATACCAAAGCCCTCACTCGCACACCAGACCTCCGTGGTCACTAGAACCCACACGCCAAAACATGAAACTCACACACGACACGGTCACAATGCCTTGAAATACAACCCGTTCGAGGTCGTGCTCTAAGCACCACACAAAATGCAACAAGAGGATAAAAATATCTACACACCAAATAGCTCAATCCACGAGCTAATAGACCAAGCCATCCATTCGATAAGAACTGAGCAACCGAGCTTTTTACCAACTCAGGTCAAAATCCACACAACCATCCCATGCTCGACCGTATAAACACATAAAAATATAGATATGCACGTATACAAAATGGACAAAACCACAATACCATGCTCATTATTTGTCACATTAACATAAAAGAAAATTGCATTGACCGTGCTTACTTCTCGCCACCATCGTATATCTCATACTTTCCGCCCCATCATATATGGCATGCTTGCAATTAACATAAACACTTTATTTACATGTATCACAATTTAAACACGTATACACTTAGCAAATAGGCATGTCTTTCAAAACAATAAACATTTAAACAATAACTAATTTTCAAAACTTTTGAAATGTAAAAAGTCAAAATAAAGTTATCAAATTGATTTTATTGCCATTAAAAAATAAATAAAATAAATAAAAGACTTCAAAATATCAAAACTGAAAATGTTACCGAGCTAAGTCTTTAACCTGGCCTAGTGAGTTAGTGCTTCTGGTGAATTCTATTATAATTCTTGTCACGATTTTTCTCTTCTTTAGAGTCTTTTCCTTGAACTATAAATTATAATCCTCCTCAGTGACAACAACTTCTATTATATTTCTTTTTGTAATGAGATTTAGCATACCAATTTTTAAAAAAAAATCTTACTATATTATTTATTATTTTATTTGTATATTAAAACAAAATAGATTATTTTGGATTTAGTGATGTATTTGTTTGTAATGTTGACATCATTCTAAAGTTTTATTTAACGACAATTATAAATTTATTAAATAAAATGCTTATGAGTGGATATTTAAGTTTTTATATTTATGATAATAATAGTTTAAGAAATTATAATTTATTTCATCATATATTCATGGTTTACAGTCGCAATATTGTTGCGATCGCTATGTAATAGATTCTAGGACCAATATTAATGTAAATTGGCCAGAGCACGAAGGTGTTCAACGGTATCCGTACATCACGATCACACTCCAGGCATGAACAGTGGGAGCAGTTACCCACCACTACTTGGACTCCTATCCCACATCAAGGATCGCACCTTCGAACCGTCTCTTTTGCTTTATATTTCGTCGTCTCTCCTCTTCCATAAAAATTTCCGATCATCGTTTTAGTTCTCTCTCCCTTCATAGCCTTACAGTAAACATTGATCAATACAATCAACACATCACAATAAGTTTCACAGCATTGGTTGAACGAGAACCAAACACTTCGCCGTGGAAGATCAAAGATGTGGGCTGTGTACTTAGAGAGGGCTCGAGCTCTAGAAGTCCATGCTTGTCTGTTTGTATTTCTTTCCTCCATTGTTGTTGTCTGGTTCATTGAATTATTTTGTCTTTCGTGGTTTCGTTCATGCACTTTGCCTCGCAATGTTGAAAATGGAATACCTAAAACACAAACACACCCAGATGGGGAAAAGGGGAAAAAACGTAAAAATAAGAGAAGGAAAAGAAGAAGAAAATTTTATTTGCCCGATGATGTTGTGATTGGAATTCTCTCAAGATTGCCTGTGAAATCTCTGATGAAATTCCGATGTGTCTGCAAATCATGGCATGCTTTTGTCACAAACCCTAATTTCATCTCAATGCACTTGAACAATTACACTCGCTCGTCAACCTCCACAACCACAAGTGATGGTTTTGCCCAGCTGGTATTTGGGCCTCTTCAGAGCAATACACGTGAACCCATCTTCTCTTTAGTCTCCTTTAATAAACTTAAGCTCGATACTGCAGTTTCTGTAGTTAAATTTGATCTGTCACCATTCATAAACGGCTACCATTTCGGTGATCCGGCACTTCATGGTTCTTGTGACGGCATAGTTTGCTTATATGGTCTAAAACCGGGTAGCATTGCTCTGTGGAATCCTGCAATTAGACAATTCAAGATTCTCCCTGTATCCCACATACCCCTTCCGCCCAATTCAAGAGTTGTTAATGCTAGTGTTGGACTTGGTTTTGATTCAACATCTAATGACTACAAGGTTGTACAAGTTTTTCGTTGCCACATAAACTATGACCCCACTTTCCAGGTTGAGATATACTCCCTAAAAACTGATTGTTGGAGAAAATTAGATGTCATTGTGCCTGCTAAAATTACTCACAATTGCTGGAGCTTGGCGTGCACGAACAATAGAATCATCTGCTGGTGGGCTGTGGTAAAAGACTTTGGTGGGGTGATCCTTTCGTTTGATGTGTCTAATGAAGTGTTCCTAACCACACCAGTGCCATCATTTCCTGGAGCTTTCGTGGGAAAGGATAAAGCTACTAGAGCCATTGTGGCTTTCGATGAGTCCTTTGCCCTGGTTGCTTTTACTCCATCCCATGACCAAGTCCATGATATATGGGTGTTGAAAGAATTTGGTGTTCAGGAGACTTGGACTAAACTATTATCTATTGATTCTATTTCAGAGCCCTACAAACCGATCGGCTTGTGGAAGAATGGTAGGTTTCTTCTCTACGATAGCTCTGAACAGCTGGCCTTTTATAATCGGGTACTCAAGAAATTAAATATCTTGGAATTCGAGGAAGAGCACCCTTATTGGATGCTCTTGTTTACAAGGAAAGCTTAGTTTCAATCAATGGAAGAAATGTGTTACAGGAACAAATCTTTTGAGTGACATAATTTAAAGATGGACACCATCTATTTGTTTGCGAACTCCAGTAGTAGCTGTATCAAAGCAATTCCAACTCCACTACTCCAGTTTAGATTATGTCCTCAATTCATCTAAACAGGTAAAATGATATCCCCATTTGTGCACTAATATTCTTTTTGAGTTATTTAATTCTCAACAATTTTTGTGTTGAACTCACAACCACAAGGGCCTGCATTTTTAAGTTAGATCGAGATCATTAGAACTCTCTTTAGCTTGTAGTTTAATCATACTAATATATACTAAAAAAAATTCAGGTGTGTCCGCTTTATATTTATCTCTTCTTTGGTTGTTTTCTGGTTGATATTCTTTTATCTGTGGTGGTTCCTTTGTTGCCTTTTGTCTGGCAGTGATGGAAAATAATTAATACAAAGAAATATTAAACAAAGAAAAGGGAAAATGTAAAAAGAAGAGAAGAAGAAGGAAGTACATGTCCAATACCTGGTGATTGAAATTCTGTCAAGGCTGCCCATCTAATCTCTGATAAGATTCAGGTGCATTTGGAAATCATGGCACACTCTTGCCACTAAGTCACTAACCCTAACGTCATTTCACTCGATCCTCCACTTCCAACACCAATGCCATTGCCCATATCCTTGTTGGCCCTTGCTCTATGGAATCCTGCAGTTGGACTGCATAATTTGTTTATATGAAAACTAAGGAACATCTGTGAAACCCTGCAATTAGAGAATTCAAGATTCTCCTTGTGTTCCACCTACCTTGTCTGCCCAATTCCGACATCATTAGGTTAGGCTGATATTCAGTTTGGTTTCTAGTCCAAAACTATTGACTACAGAACTGTAGCATTGCTTCTCTAGCAGCTGCATCAACTGCCCAACTTTGTAACCGTCTGCTGGTGGGCAGAGGAAAGGCGTGGTATTAGGTGACCCTTTCCTTTGATGTTTTCTAATGAATTTGCACCCGTGAAGGCTACCCTCCATTAACTCTAAATTAGTAACTTGATTATCTATTTAGTAACTTGAGTAATTGTTTGACTTTGTGAGGTCCTCAGAACACACTAATTATCTTTTTAGTATCTTGAGTGTACAAGTCAATAATTCTATTTGTATAATATATCCCTCCCTCCCTCTCAGAACACACTGATTATCTTTTTAGTAACTTGAGTAATTGAGAGTATTGTGGGAGGATTGTCTTGACTGACTATTTCAACAACTTGGTATACGTGGATATTGGTTTGCAATTTTGTATATTATTAATAGGTTTTGGTTACAAATTGAGTTTCCTCATCATAATTTATTATCAATGGCTAAACATTAGTGTGCTTGGTATTGATAAATGTATTCAGTTCTCAGCCACTTGTATCCATAAATGAGAATATATAATGAGAAAAAGAAATTTGCATATTGTTTTCCTCGAAGAACAAATGAGGTTGACAGCCATTTTGTGCTTAGTAGTGTCAAAACTCATAGGCTAGGTCATTTTTTCTCGAAAAAGGAATGGGCAAATGATCTTTTCTTAAGGAAAGAGGTTGGTGGCAAAGTTTTGATGCTAAAAGTATTTAAACCTCTACCCTTTTAGGAGGTAAGCAAACCATGTAATGGTCCATATGGATTATATCTGGTTGTTAATTGTCTTCATCATTGTTTAAAACCCTCTATAACTTTGGTTCCCAATATTATGCTTTGTTTACCCATAACTTAAATTTTTTTATATATACAAGGAAAAAATTCAAAATGAAGTGAACTATAAGTGAAATAGAATAGTGGACAGTAAAATGTTCTATTAGCTAATTTAGCTCCCAGTTTTCAGCCATTTGTAAACATGTCAGAATTTGGACTGGAAATAATAAAGGAGGAGATTCCATTAACAAGAATTAGTAAATGCTTTTGAACTTTCAAAAGAAAATGAAAAGATTTGAACCCATCAAAATGTGGAAATAAAATATGATTTACTGGGTTAGGCAGTAGAACAACTTCAACAAAAGGGATTCACAGAAGAAGACATAAATCAAAGACATGGGATGAATTATTACTTAGCCCATTTTTGTCCTATTGGAGAATGGAACATTCCATAATATTATATACTACTTGAGCTATGCCTTGATGGTAATTATATGGATACTTGCTAAACTATAACCCTAAACATAAACAGAGATTCAAGCAAAAATAAATCAATCCAAGATATAGAATTAGTTATATGGGCACTTGCTAAACTATAACTCACATCTATAGCCCTTTCCATCTGTCTCTGTAGAAAATTGGCTTTCAAATGTACTATACGGAACTCAGCTTGATTGGGCCAGTTTGTCGTCACTGTATTCATAGACTCTCTGTGTCTCCTCTCTCCTCTTTGTGTATCCATCTAGTTTCCTCTTGCTTCTCTCCTTCTTCTTCTTCTTCTTCTTCTCATTTTTGGTTTATACTCTGATTATGGTTCAGACACATCTACATATTCGCTCTCTCTCTCCCCCCTCACAAGCCATACCTTTTGTTCCACCTAATTGAGCAGTGCCAAACCCTATTAAAAACCACCACCACCCTCCAACTCCAAAATTACCCTCGAGGAATCTTAACCAGAGTCTGGACACCATGGTTAGCCACCTCCTACAAACTCCAAATCGGCTTAAACCGATCACCGTTATCTAAACCATTAAACTTTTGTGCTAACCAGCATGGCCTCTCCTTGGGGATTCCACTACCTTAAGCTTTTGGAAATAAGGCAAATTGATGGACTGTGTGATACGCAGCTGCTTGAAATGTGATGGTTTGCATATTTGGGGAAGGATAAAGCTGCTAGAGCTATTGTGGCTTTCGATGAGTCCTTTGCCCTTGTTGCTTTTACTCCATCCCATGACCAAGTCCATGATATATGGGTGTTGAATGAATTTGGTGTTCAGGAGACTTGGGCTAAATTATTATCTATTGATTCTATTTCAGAGCCCTACAAACCGATCAGCTTGTGGAAGAATGGTGAGTTTCTTCTCTACGATAGCTCTGAACCAAGAAATTAAATATCTTGGAATTCAAGGAAGAACACCCTTATTTGATGCTCTCGTTTACAAGGAAAGCTTAGTTTCAATCAATGGAACAAATGTGTTCCAGGAACAAATCTTTTGAGTGACATAATTTAAAGACGGACACCATCTATTTGTTTGCAAACTCCAGCAGTAGCTGTATCAATAGAGTTGTAATTCACTAGTTATTCCATATGCTTGCCAAATCTATAAAAAAAAATCATTAAGTATTTTTATGGATTGACATTTCATTTAACTAAGCAAAGAAAGAAGGGCTACCTTTGTCTATATAAAGGGTAAGTCTATTGTGTAGCAAAACAATTGTTACTGTTGAAATACTTGTCCATCAGTTGTTGAACTAGCAAGTGAAATGGGCCGAGTAGGACGTTGCACGACTAGTGCAGAGAATTTATATTGAGAGACTTTCATAATAGTGTATAGTACTTTAGAATGGTGTAATATTGTGTATGGAGTACTAGTAGATAGTATTGTGTATGAAGTACTAATAGCTTGTAGATGTGCATATATTTTTGTATAGAATTTTAGAGGAGCAATCTTAACCATTGATTGAGATGCATCTTAGCAGTTCATTGATGAAGGAATGTCTATAAATAGGTAGGATGTCTCATTTGTAGACAAGAAGTTCTATGGGGTGATTGAGATGCATCCTAATGGTCTATTAAAGAAAGAATGTTTATAAATAATCCACAGACATGTCATGGTAACGGAAAATTCACAGATTTTCCAGATTTAAAATCTATTTTACATTGTTTTTGCATACAAAAAAAATAAAAATAAAAAAATACATTATATTCTCCAAAACCAGCTCATGAGGTCATGGATGATTCATGAGCAAACACAGGCTGAGTACACATTGAGCCGATTATGTGTTGAAAAACATTAAACATCTAGAACAATTTTGGTGAATTGAAAAGTGAAGCAACAAGCTGGAAATACTAAAACATTAATTATATCGTTAATTTGTAAAATTATGTCTCTTTAGTTAACAAAATCAGATTTTGCAATGAAATGTAATTAGCTTAAATTTTATATTTAATATGATATGCGTAATTAAGATCAACAAATATTAATTTAAATTTTAAACTACATTTTTTCTGATTTCAAACTTAAAATATTGATTTAATAATACTCTAAAACATAACACGATATTCTCATATTTGAACGACATGTATTTGTAACATGTACAAACAAATAAAATTTTCTTATGCTTGATATTCGATCAAGAAATTCACATAAATGTTTGGACAATTAACAATTGAACATAGAATATTTCTATTTGCTTGAAAAAAAGAAAAAAAATCTGTAAAGAAGTAAAAGACCAAAGTAGAGTTTACTAGAACCAACCTTGGAAGTGTATGAGACACATTCTTTCAATCTTTAATCCAGCCTTGCCTGACAAGTGACAAGACACCGGTACTGCATAAAGAATTGATCATTTATTACAAAAATAAAAAATAAAAATAAAAATCATTTATATCCACAAGATTTGGCTATTTAATTGTGAGACTGAGACACAGAAGCAAGACATACTTTTCCAATTTATTGGAGCCTAATTAACACACATTAACCTTCCCTTTAAGTTTGAATTTTCCTTACCTTTTGACCAAGCCGTAACCAAAAGATTCATGAATGTATTATTTGAGAATTCATTTGATTAGTATTAAAACATACATTAAAAAACGCTCAATCATTATATAATTATGTCTTCCGATAGTGTCCAAAAGTCTTGAAAAAACTGTAGGAAACACTGACCTAATTCCATGACAGATACGTAAGTCTATATAATATACATTGTTATTAGTTTGTGACTGTACATTATCTAGTTCAACAAAACTCGCAAACAACACGATGTAAGGGTCTTTAATATATATATATATATATATATTCTTTACCAGACAAAAGAAATCTAATAAGATATACTACGCTTTACGGTTTAAAGTTTTAAACAGCAAGCAAAAGTTGATAGTTTGGTAGACTTAATTTAGCTCTATATAAAATGTTACCAGCCAATGTTAAACATGTTCTAGCTGCAATGTATTGAAATTAATATATATATTGTGTATCGTTGATTGTGCTGTCGAGATTTTTAAAACATTTAATAATTCATCATTCGTTCCTCGTCTCATATGCATTAAGCAATTATAGAAAAATTGTATGCATAAACTTAGAAGCCCGGCATAAAAAAATCTAGCTAATTTGGATGGACATGAAAACAGTTTTTTTTTTTTGTGGACACACAACAATCTTTATGGAAGGAATTGTCCCATTCATAAAATTATAGCAAATACTCCAACCTAGTGACCTGTTGCTTCCATTTATTTAAAATTGAGCACCATGTGTGTGTTTGTATATATGACTTTATAAGTTACAAAAATATTAAAAACAGAGTGATAGAACATGCAACATATATCAATTTGTAACACTACTTCTATAAAAATAAGTTCCCTTGGTATTTGGCTGCTCTTCAGCTTTTTAGCACCAAAATCACCATAACTTTATTCCAGGTCAATGATTTTCCACTTGCACTAAGTGAAAGATTTTAAAAATAATAACAACACGGAAAATGAGTTGAACATAACCATAATGTATTCAAAATGCTTGCTTTATTACAATTTTTTTTTTTTTTTTTTTTTTTAATGTCAAGAATGGTTTAGAAACTGTCTAATTAACTAAAACAGTTTTTTAAGTCTTCAAAAAATTTAAGTTTATTAGAAACTAATACATAAAATGCTTTCAAAATTCATGGATTTCAATTTTTAAGATTTTAAAACTGAAAATAAAAATGGCCAATTTTAGAATTCCCATGAGTTGATAAACATGCGCGGTTGTTGATGAAAAGACAAGAGGCATCAATTGTAATTGAAATTTGTATAACAAGTGTCCTAAAAAGTTTTGGATTTAATTGAGTGAACTTCTTCTGTTGACAGGAGTGTCACTTAAGCTGAATCCATTAATTACCATACATTTTAAAATAAGTGGATAGAATAATTGAATTGTTGGTGGAAGAATCTCCACTTTTTAGTACCAATAAGACAAGCCCTCTTGTGCTTCCTCAAGACTTTGTCATTCATATAAAATTATTAATCAACACAATCTTTGCTGTCACTGCAATACACAACACAATCACCACTTCCTTAAACATGAACATAAATATGTGTGTCTATAAATTATTTATTTGTGTCTAAAAAAATGTAGACATTGCACCCAACAAAATAAAAATTAATATATAATTAATAGATATTTAATACTTTGATGTGCAATGCGTATAGTGGGTGTTGATTATCAGACCTTTCTTCGGGAGAAATAGAAGGAAATTGGACCACGGAACCTTCTTTCCCATTCGACGACCATGAACCTTCTCCTCCATTCGACAATTATGTCAACACCATATAATTGTCGAACGGGGAAGAAGATTTTGTGGTCCAATATATACGGGTCAAGTGGAGAAAAAAAATTTGTATACTACATGTATAATATATAGTGCTTTCGCTTGGTAATTCAATCTTTTACAATTTATAAGAGGTGTTGACAAGGTTGTCGAATGGGGGAGAAGGTTCCGTGGTTCAATATATATGGGTCAAGTGAAAAAAAAAAAAAAAAAAAAAAAAAAAAATTGCATACCATTGATATGGTACAAAAAAATTCATGTGTAGTTTATAATTCCTTATATTATTGATTTGGTGCAAATATTTCTCTCAAGACTTAAAATAACAATAATGCCCTCATACTAGTAGAAAAAATTAATAAGTAGAAATACTAGTCATGTAAAATGATGATTTTGTCCAAATGTTATAGGAGTTTGTTTGTTTGAGACAAGAATAAAATAAATCTCATTAAATAATAAATCACAAAACAAAATTAAATAGATAAATAAAATATATAATGACACAAGCAAAAAAAGGAAAAGCAATAATCTAGTTATAGGGAAAGAAAAAGAGAGAAGGAGAGAGGAAAAGGGCGTATAGGGAGTGTTTATTTTTATCTTTTCTGAAAAATAGTAACTGAAATACACATTTTTTTGAAAATTAAGAACTGACGGGGCACAAGTTTGAAAGGAATGGTGCATTATGCACAAAACCTGGAATTTTTTTATATTATATCCTACATCTGATGAATTCACTATGGTTATTTTATATCCTTTTTTTTTTTTTTTTTTTTTTACTCACTATACCTATTGTTATATCATTATAAATTATATTGTTACTCTTGCTTCGTCGGAATAAATCTGACCCCTTTCCCTTTTTCTACCTACCTATGTAGGATATTTTAAGAAGTGTAACATCTTTGGACAGATGCTTTGGTATTTTCCATGTGAGGATGATATATTAAAGATTAGGGATAGAGACACTTGACTTTTAGTTTTAGCCACAAAAATAATTGGAATTTGGATCCTTCTCTTCTCTTCTCCACCATGATTCGGAGACCAGCAGTGACATTGAGTGCTTACAACAAAACGTGTCAATCACTAATTACAACTATCAACCAAATTTGACCGCGTAACAAGCTTGGCTGCTTAAGCAAAATTAGCTTTAATAAACCCCACTATTTTGCCCCATAAACCGATAAACGGTACGTCTAAGTTTCATAGAATTATAATGATGATGCCAAGTTAATTGTGAATGGACTTATCAAATACTCTGTATGTGATAAAATTATGAAAAAATTATATTTAGGTATATTTGTTCCATAAACATACACATTTTTTTATTGATTGATGGTTTAACATGCATACATACGGATCAAAGTGGATCCCATGTTAAATCATCTAGTCCGAACACGTGACAACTAGTATAAGTCATAACTAATTTTAGAACCCTCATGTCGTAGCTGAAACCAGCCCATTTCCTAAAATGCCAAACCAAAAGGTTCTAATCGGACTTTTAAGCCAATTTAATCAGGTACAAATTAGCCGAGAACCGATCTAATCATCTGTTTTTTTTTAATCTATTTTGGAGGGTTGAATTAGATTAACAAATTACTCTGTAAAATACTCCAATGAACGAAGCTTGACATTCCAACACTCCTATTATCAATTCACTTATAACCCTAACAATGCCCAAGTTTAGTAAAGGAAAGAGAGGGTGTTTAACATATTTTAGTCACACATATTTGTACTAATTAAAATCAAATGTCAAAATCAAATGCAGCATATTAGTAAAAGTGATATCATGACCCGTGACATTTTAATTAAAGTTTAAAGGATTGTGTTTAGGGATCAATTTTTTTATTGCAAGGTGAAAATCAAAATCAAAATCAAAATCGAAGACTATAATTTGTTACTACTAGTTTAATCCAATAAATTAATCGTCGCAGACCATAGTAATTGTATAACCTAAAGCAATAGAGTTGTTTCGCGAAACGTCATCTGATCGATCCACTCTGTCTTGCTTCTTCCAACGCAGTCAATTCACCTCTCTCTCTCCCTCTGTGGGACTCGGTCTCAAAGATATAGTCTTCATTCACCAACTTCAGAGCTTCATGGGGTATATAGATTGAACGATTTGGAAATTCCTATATTCCCCTAAAAGGTTGTTGGATTTTCATCTTCTAGCTCTATCAATCTCAGCAACAGTTCTTCAAGCTCTGACTGTAATCGTTAAATTTAAGTGTATAGATCAACAGAGCTTGTTTGTGTTTGTGTAGTGTGTGCAAATACTTATATGTACGCAGATGGGTGGTAATGGCAAGCACCGGTGGAAAATCTCCATACACAGGTCATCGTCTTCGTCCACTTCCAAGCTCGAAAAAAAGCATCCTCCCACGGAATTCGTATGTCCGATTTCTGGGTCGTTGATGTTCGATCCGGTCGTCGTCTCCTCAGGCCAATCCTTCGAGAGAAACTCCGTCCAAATCTGCCGAAATCTAGGGTTTGCTCCAACCCTAGCCGATGGCTCCAAGCCCGATTTTGATACAGTAATCCCCAATTTGGCCCTCAAATCCACCATTCTCAGCTGGTGCAACACCTCTGGTGCGGAGCGACCTCGCCCACCCGACTACAGCTCCCTGGAGGACACCGTCCGTGCAATTATGGACTCGTCCAGAGAGGAAGAAACAGAGGATGTAAACAATTCGAGAATTAGGGTTTCAGAGAGGGAGTTGCTGAGAGGGGTGGCGGAGAAGCCGGCGGTGATGTTCTCGCACGCCGCCACGGAGGTGAACCACCGAGCGAGTCACTTCTACTCATCCAGTTCCGAAGAATCGGTCATCGCCAACGGCGCGATGACTCCACTTCTTCCTTTCACAACTCGACCCCTCTGTTACTCCTCTGCCTCGTCGTCGTCGGAAATCACTTCCGACGACACCCTAAACCCTAACATTAATTCCGAAGACGAGGAGTTCGTGGTCAAGCTGAGAAGTTCTGAAGTCTTCGAGCAAGAACAAGGCTTGATTGCTTTGAGGAAGCTCACGAGAACAAAGGAAGAAGCTAGGGTTTCGGTATGCACGCCGCGCTTGCTTGCCGGACTCAAATTGCTGATCCCGTCGAGGTACCACGGCGTGCAGGTCAACGCCGTCGCTTCTCTGGTCAACCTCTCGCTCGAGAAGGCCAACAAGGTGAATATCGTACGGTCGGGGATCGTCCCGCCGGTGATCGACGTGTTGAAGGGAGGATTGGCTGAGTCGCAGGAACACGCTGCGGGCGCACTCTTCAGTTTAGCTCTGGAAGACGATAACAAGACGGCCCTGGGCGTCCTCGGCGCGTTGCAGCCGTTGTTGCACGCGCTGAGGTCGGAGAGCGATCGGACTCGGCACGACTCGGCGTTCGCGTTGTACCATTTGACTCTGAATCAGAGCAACCGAGCCAAGCTCTTAAAACTCGGCGCTGTGCCGACGCTGTTGTCGATGGTGCCTGGCGGTGAGTTCGGAGGGCGAGTGCTGCTGGTGCTGTGCAATTTGGCGGCGTGCGAGGAGGGGAGAGCGGCAATGCTTGACGCGAACGCGGTGGAGACTCTGGTGGGGTTGCTAAGGAGGGGGAGCGAGTCATCCTCTGAGTCGACTCGGGAGAATTGTGTAGCCGCGTTGTACTCACTGAGTCACGGAAGCATGAGGTTCAAGGGACTGGCTAGGGAGGCGAGGGCAGCGGAGGTGTTGAGGGAGGTGGTAGAGAGAGGAAGCGAGCGGGCAAGGGAGAAGGCGAAGAGGATACTGGTGACGTTGAGAGGGAGGGACGAGGAGGAGGATGGGGAGGAGGAGGTGGATTGGGAAGGGGTTATGGAGGGAGGGGTGAGTCGGAGTCGGTACCGAGTTGGGAGGAATGTGTACGGTGCCAACTCAACCGAGTTTTGAATTTGATTGTTTTACTCTTTTGTTTTTTTTTTTTCTTTTTCTTTTTTTTTTTAAAAAAAAAAAAATCTTTCCAACTAGTAGGGGTTTTGTTTGGGTACAGGGGCGTTGTATTTATTGGTGGATGATGTTGATATTCATGCTTATTTTCTTTTCTATTTTGTGATTAATTTTTAGTTTAATAATTATTTGTGCGCTATATTTCTGTGAATGTAATTATGAGTAATTATTTGTGCGCTATATTTCTGTGAATGTAATTATGATGTAAATATTAGATTTTGTGAGAGGGATTTTGAACTTTGGCAAAGGTTATTCGAATTTATAACTTGTAATGGAGTTTCATAATGCACGATATTTATTGGCAGCCTAATTTCATTATATCTCATAATTTTGGTAATTAAAAATAAAACAAGAGGTGTGGAGGGATTGACCTATTATCTTCAAGGAAAGGAATGGATGTGCATTCGTTCTCCAACCCAACATGTTATTATTCTTATGTCAAATATTGTATACAGGGTACAACTGTTTTTCTTATTAATGTAATAGACTAATACGGAGTGTGGAATAAAATAACGAGAGTATTTCATTGTCTAAAATATTAAAACTAATTTAGTCAAAAGGTTTTGGTGGGTCTAATATTCAGTTTCCTTCACACACACAATTTTGACGTAGAAAGTAGAAAGTAGAAAGAAGGAAGAAAAGGTTAAGGTTACAAAATACACACAATCGATCAATAGCTTTCCGACATTCTCATTGGTTGCTATAGTGAGGTTTCATTACACGGACCAATTAATTTTGCCAAACTAAATGCTCACTCTTTTATTTTATTCTTTTTTAAAATAAATATTCTTAAAATGTATTTTTTTAACATTATTAATTTAATCTCCCTATATTTAATTTATAAAAAAATAAATTATTACGTAAATTTATTGTGTATATATTTAATAATTCATTCACTATTATTATAATAAAAATATATAAAAACTCAATATCTTAAAAAATTAAATTTTTAATGAGCCAACTAAAAACTATAAACCTAATATTTTCTTAAATACCAGAGCGCACTAAATATCAGACCAAATGATTTTATCAACTTGAGTAAAACTCGATTTAATACACATTTCAATAGAATCGGCAATGGCGAATGAGCATGGCCCCACCACAATGTCATCACATCATGTGAGGTCCACGCCTCACTACTGTTAATGTTTTGAACTTGTCCGAAAACAGAATCAAATTTTTTTTTATTTTTTTTATTTTTTTTTATATGTTGATTAGTGATGGACTAAAACCAATGATGATAAATATCGTACAGTTAAATAGTCAATTTAGGGCACTAAACAACACATTTGTCTATTGAGTCTTCTTTTTTTATTTTCTTTAAAAACAAAGGTTTTAGTGTTTGGGTTGTGTGTAATGAGAGAGGGGAGTGAGTTTTAGTGTTTGGGTTGTGCATTGTTTAGTCCTATTATCAAGTAAACTGAAGCAATCATAACAGTATGTATTTTTTCAAACACTATCATATACTATTGTGTATTCCTACTATCATATGATATATATTGGATGGGGGTAGAAGGGGAATGGATGATATTATAAGAATAACTAAAACTAAAGAAACATCACATATTTGGGTCGATTAAGTGAAAGACACACATTGACAAAGAAAAAAATTACCAGATGAGGATGATGATGAGCCCTGTGGATAACAAAATAATCCAAACTTTTAGTTTTATATATAAATGGATAGAAAGTCTTACGCAATAACTTAAATGCATATATTTTTTTTATTATTATTTCAAAAAATGCATATTCCATTGCATGAATGCAATTTTAATATTATAAAAAAAAAAAGTAAGAGTAAATTATATTGATCTCTCTTGACTTTTGAATAAATTATATAAGGATCAATCTTATTAACATATTATTGGAAGTCTAAAACCATAGAAAATCAATCTCTGTAATATGAATTTTTATTTCTATCGAAATATTTATACTATGTAATCCCAAAAAATACGCTAGATTTTCGTTAGCAGTAGAGAGAAATAAAAACTAGATTAAAGATCGGCTGAATCCACTATAATGTCTATTTAATAATATTTTAAATTTGAAACATGTGTCATTATTTACTTGGTCTCTATAGAAATATGAAAACCCAAAAACCGTAAAATTCAATTGAACCAAATTCCGATGAATACGTTTGGTTCATTTAAGTTCGGTTCACGTCCCCAGTTGGATTACCAGTTTGATTCCAACATATCGGGTCCCCCGTTCGATTAAATACGACGGCTACCCAGTTTGATTCCAACATATATGAAATTATTAAAATTTGTTTGGTTTTAATTTATTATTTATCTCGCAAGTAACCATAATGACTATCAATAGTCAATGTAAAAAACAGCATCGACCATTGCCGATCCGGACGTTTTATTGTAACAAAGGGTACCATTAAATCCGAAAAAAAAAAAAAAAGAGAGGACACTATTTTAAACCATAATACGAATAATATTGATGCATTAATACTATATAATCATGATGACTATTTATCAACCTCAATACATCGATCATGTCATCTCCCACCTCCAATCAGATGGTTGAAAAACAATTTCAAGCAAATCAAAAAATAAAAAATAAAATAAAACTTCTCATTCCCTCCTTATCACATCCATATTGTCACTTAATTACTTGGTGTTGAACTTATCGCATCTGTGCCTTATTTCCCCATCATTTCCTGTCTTGATTCCAATCATACTAATCTTCACCATTGCCTTAGCAAATGCCTGGAAGAATTCAGTCTCACTTTTGGCGAACTTTTCGCATAATGGCTTTGTCCTGGGATCAGCAATCAGTAAATGGTCGGACGCCAAGAGCCCCCATCCCTTGAACAAGTTCTTGAAGAACATGTTGTCGAATTGTCCCGGTGTCTTCACATCATTGAAAGCTGCAATGGTCCCATCTTTCTGGTAGTTAGCACACAGCTGTTTCAATCTCGCAGCATATGCAGGATCAAGAGCTGGATCGATATCCGCGGTCTTGCTGAAGTTAAAGATCCTGTCGCTGAATTCCTTGCAGTGAGAGAAGCCGATGGTGTGTCCCCCGCCGGTCGACGCCACCATATCCTCAACGTTCAACCCTTTACCTTCGAATTGCTTGATCATGGTGTCCATCGAGAAGTTTGCCCTAGCTAGGTTTCCATCGACACGCTTAGCATCGGAGACTAGGCCGTCCTTTCGCCCTAGTGACACGTTGTAGAACGGTCCCCCGACCATTTTGACAAGGTTACGGGTGGTGAGAGCGAGTATGTCTGCGCAGGAGACGACGCCGGGGCAGGCGAGCTCGAGGGCGGTCTTGGCGCGGGTCACCACGTCAAAGCCGTCCCCGGCCAGGGACTCGTTCATATCGTTCTCTTTTTCGGCCTTGCCATTGGGTACGGAGCCGATCAGGACGGAGGCGTCACAGCCGTCGACCATGCAGTCATGGAAGAAAATGCGGAGGGTTGCGGCGGCGGTGACGGGGTTAGTCGTCTGCTTGTTGGTGACAGTTTCTTGTATGATTTGGTCGAGCCTGGGACATGTTTTGGCGTAGTAATCGACGGAGAGGGGGGTCTGGGAATGAGCTAAAGATGAGAGTGATGCGAGCACAAGAATGAGAAATAAGTTGGAAGCCATGGCCGGAGAGATCGAGAATGAGGAGGAAGGAGGTGTGAGAGAGACACCTGCTTCCCCACAACCAAAGTTGATCAGGAGAGTGTGGAGGAAGCAAATATTAGGTTTGATTAAAATTATATAAAGAGTCGCTTGAGAAAAAAAGGAGTGTTGTGGAGGTGAGGGGTTTTAGGAGAAGGTTGGCTTATATTGAGAAAGGGAGGCATGGGTTGTTTTTTTTTGTGCATGCAAAGGGATGGTGGAGGTTTTGGGTTGAGCGCCAAATGCGCTGGTCCTTTGGGAAGTACTGCTTTGATTCATTTGTTTTAGTAAGCACAACACGTACGAACCTAATTGTAATGGGAGTATATATATAAATAAATAACAAAATCATAGACACAATTATTTACTTTTTTAATAGTTGATTGTTTATGTTGATCGTTTTATTAATGATTTTTTTTTAAGAAGAAAAAAAGTACAATTATTTAGTGAGAGTCCTGCCTATTTAATTAAATTATTTATTTTTAGAGTTCAAACTAATGCATAGACACACTTAATATTGTATTTGACCTATTTTATTTATTTATTTTTTTTCTTGACAAGAATGTTAGGAGTTAGTGGTGAGAGAGGAGGGAAAAAGTGCAAGACTTGAACACGGGAAGTAACATAATCACTCAAGTAACACCACCTGCATGTTCATAATTGCAAAATTCGATTAAATTTCTTTTGGTGTGTAATTATATATATATATATATATATATATATATATATATATATATATATATTGTTTTCAAAAGTTGTCTTGATCAATAAAAGTTTCTTTGGCCTTCTTCAAAACAATAAAATAAAATAAAAGGTGATATGAAAATTTAAAAAAAAATTGCCTAAAACAATAAAAAGAGAAATATGAACCAGAATACCATTAATTTAAAAAATTATGCATAAGCCAGTTTTACTTTAGAGAGATTAATTGAAATGGCACCGTTCTAGAAAGTTAATTCTTTTTTTGCAGGAAAATCTTTAATTTGTAAAGCTCAGTCTCAATAATAAATTATTTTTTTTCAAATTTTTTCTTCCTTGCTATCCAAACTCTTAAAATATAAATATGTTTACAATTCGTTCACTTTCTATTAAATTTCATCCAAAACGAAACCAAAAGAGATAATAAAAAGAATAGATAAAAAATAAATAAAAATTATAAATAACAAAAATCTAAAAACTCAAAATAAAAAGGAAAGGGGAAAAAAAAAAAAAAGAAATAAACTATATAAAAAAATAAAATACAAAAAGTCATTTATAATATATGATTGATTTAAATAGACATATAGCGGGATATAAAATCTATCATTTTAAATTTATTTTTTAAATAAAAAAAATATAATAATATCAAACCAGTCCCACACTGCACTTCTTTATGCTCCGTTTGGTTGGAGAGACCGAAAAATGGATGGCAGGGAGAGGGGGAGGGATAGATGAGGCATCCTAGTGACGGTGTCTCACTTTTTTTTTGTTTGGTTAGATGGAATAGATAGGAGAAAGAATATATGCGTGATATGTATGTATATATATATATATATATTTGAAAGGAAGAGAAATAGAGTTTTTATATTATTTTTACCAATTTACCCTCGTTAATGTAATAAAGCTTAACAAATAAACTATTTTGCAGGTAAAAAATGTAAATGATATATTTGTAGCTTTAACCTTCTTTCTCTCTCATTTTCCTACCAATTTCGAGTGGATAGGAAAACACAAATGAATGAGGGATGCTTTTCCCTCCTTGTTTCCTCCCTATCTTCCCTTTCCTCCAACCAAACACGAACAAATTATTTTATCCCTCCTCTCATCCATTTCTCCCCAATCCTTCATTCCAACCAAATACACCTTTATGATTCGTTTGGTTGGAGGGATGAAAAAATAGATAGAAAAAATAGGGGGAGGGATGGATGAGATATCCCTGTGGAATGGAGGGTGTCTTTTCAATTTAATGTTTGGTTGAATATAATGAATAGTAGAAAAGATGAATGAAGTGATACTTTTTTCTTATTTGGTTGGAAGGAAGGGAAAGAGAATTCTTATATTATTTTTATCAATACACCATTTTATATAAAATTATATAAGGTTGATATTTATTTCAAAAATTTTGAAAAGGTATAAATTATAAATTATAAATTTATTGGCATTTATACCTTATTTCTCTCCTCAATTCCCCCTAAAAGTGGACGGATATAAAAACATAAATTAATTTATAGGGATAATTTCACAGACACTTCCAGTAGTTTAGCCAAATATCAGTCTAAAATATCTTTCGAAAATAACTATCAGTTAGGTCCAATTTCGCTTTTCCGTTACTGTCTCCGTTAAAAATGTGTGAAAATACACGTTTGTCCCTAATTTTTTAATCACATTTAATACAAACTTCATACCATCATAAACTCAAAACCATCTTCCATCCAAATCAACTATCTTCTCCACCGGCGAGCTTCATTTAGATCCACCAAATCCCTAATTTTTTTTATAAAATTACAAATTATATATATATATATATATATATATATATATATATATATATATATATGTGAGCGGATTTGAACGATGATTAGGAGTAGAGAGTTGTTTTGACAAGGATCTGAACTGCGAGCACGAAACGGCATGAAGTAAGAACTATCGTGCCTAGCGAGACGCAAACTGAGCCGGTGAGCACGGACTGAACCGGGGAGACTAAACTTACAGTTTAGCAAGAACTATTCCGGCAATCAGAAACTACGACAACAAATTTGGAGATGTATAACTTGATTGATTGTACAGATCGCCGACGAAGGTGCGTGCACCAGTCCGGCAACGGTGCGAGACTGATTTGGCAGAGGGAAAAACAGGGGAACCAACGAGTGTCTAACGCTCCATCAAACCAAAGACCGACGAGCTTCAAAACAGAGCTTCGGTTGCTTTTCTGACAAAGTACCTCCAGCCCTAAAACAATCACATTTACGGTGGAGAAAATTTGATTATTTGAGCTCTGATGTCACTGGTGAGTTCAAAATGCCCTTAACAAACCAACCAAAGCCTTTTATTTTCTCAACCAAATTATCCGACTAGAATCCATTGTAGCACCACCATCACTCCACTTGCTAGTGCAACATAAGCAATCTAAAATTACAATCTGGGTCTATATATGTATAGTATATTTATTTTATATGTAGTATTTGATTTCAGTCCAACCTCCACGCAACTGCTAGCTAATGATGTTGAAGTCGGATTTGATAAAATTACAAATTATATATATATGTGTGTGTGTGTGTGTGTGTGTGTGTGTGTGTGTGCGTGTGTGTCTCTCATATATAAAGAACATTAATAGGAGCTTTAACCTAAGGCAGTGGTTGTGATACCCCTCGGATCTGAGACACGGGTTGATCAGGCCCAGGCCCAAACCCGAGGGAATATCAAATAATTAAAGTATTTTAAAGCGAACACAGATGACAAAATGAAACAAAAGTGATGGAATAAAACTGAAAGAAACATTAATTATAAAATCCTCCATGGACAACTGAAAAATGAAACTCCAATCCTCCAAAACTTCAAGGTTACAACTTGGGAATCCACTGATGGACCTCTAACCAAAAGTTCAACTGAAACTGAAAACTGAAAATAGATAATGCTAGAAATATCGAGAGAAGTTCTACGTAATCAGATGAAGGTGAGACTGTCCTCGACAAGCACGATCAAGCTCTAAAGCTGGAACCGTCCTGTCCCTGAAAAGAATAATAAAGGAGTGGGTCAGACCCACGAGCAAGTTCTAATCTAACTGCAATCCATACAATGACCCGATACGCAGATACACCGTAGACACCTCACAATATCTATCTAGTCCATACATATATATCCGCACTAAGGGACATTCACTAGTCTATAATAGGGGTCTCAACCTGAATAGAAGGCAACATGCGAATACGCACCCAAAGGTGGGCATGAGTACCTAGACCTAACATGGTACACCTCAACCTATTATAACTAGCTACGCATCCACTGCATATACGCACCCTAACCAACGAGTCTGAGACTCAAGCTCAACTCGTGGTACCATAAACATATATATAAAGTCCGTCCAAATCCAGGGTAAGCAGTTCAACTATTTATTAAACTGACCTACAATAAACCAACTAGTTAGTCACTCCACTTATTCAGTTGATATGACTTAACTACCATCCGTTAATCCAGGAAGTCATCAAACTTGGTTACAGCTGATCTGACTTAGCCACAATTAGGATTCGATATCTTTCAATCCATTCCATTAATCCATTAGGTTAGGTTTATGCGTTTTGAGCTAAACCGTCCCTAGTATGTCACCATCCCATACCGGTACATACCATCCTCCATATCCATGTAAATTACAACATATATGACAGTTTAATAATTTACAGACCAAAAACTACCATCCAAACAATTGCAGAAAACTATTTAAAGCTTCAGCAATTTAAATCCAAGCATTTAACCATATAGTTGCAGGAGACGATTTTAACAAATCAACAACTAACATCCAGAGCATGCATAGACCAAATTTAATATGTCAGGGACTCCATCATGCATGTGAATAGGTTAAATAATCCTATTATTAACCAATAAATTGCTAAAACAATTCAGAAGATTGTTTAAATATTTCAGCAGTTTAAATCCAAGCATTAGCCATATAGTTGCAGTAAACAATTTAATAATTCCGCAACTAGCCTCCTAAGCATGCATAGATCAAAATTAATAATTAAATGACCTTATCATGCACTTGAATGTATTCTAAAACAAGTTTTATAAACACATTATGTTCCATCAAATTGCTGAATTTTAATTCAACAATTAATTCAATTCCATTTGTTAAGTGCCTTAATTTTTACACTGTTTGTCCCGACAACTTAGAATTAAACTTTACTCAATTTAGGGTCTTACTAACACTCAAAATTCATTCCTTGATCCCTCTGTAAAGTTCCAAATTCATTCAAACAGTCTCCATGCTCCAACAGTGAACATAGTATGTAGAAAATTAAAAAAAAAAACGTAAAATAAATCAAAAATACCAAGGGAGCCTGCTCCAGAATTTGGAGCAGGCTCTTTTCCAGCCTAGAGCCGGCTCTAGGACTCCCTAGAGCAGGCTCCACTTTGTTGTGGGAGCCGGCTCCCACTTCCATGGAGCCGGCTC